GAAAATAACTTCCAACCTAAACTGTTGTATCCTGCAAAATTATCTTTCAAAATTGATGGTGAAATTAGATACTTCCACGACAAAGAACACCTGAGAAATTTCATGAACTCTAAACCAGCACTACAAGCAATTCTAAACAATATCCTAGAAAAAAAGCAATGAAGACCACAACTCCATGAGGCCCAACAGAGGGAAGCCACCAGGCAAGGTAAGACACTAAAGGGAAAGGTGGAAAAAATAAGAAATAAAAGAGCCAACAAAAGTAAAACATCATGACAAGGATAAATCAATATCTGTCAATTATAACCCTCAATGTTAATGGTCACAATTCACCAATCAAAAGAAATAGACTGACAGAATGGATTAAAAAGGAAAATGCAACAATATGCTGTATACAAGAAACACACCTAACTCAAAAAGAAACTCATAGACTGAAAGTAAAAGGATGGAAAACAGTTCTCCACGCCACAGGAACCCAGAAGAAAACAGGGGTAGCAATCTTATTTGCAGACAAAGAAGATTTCAAACCAAAACTAATTAAGAGAGACAAAGATGGTCACTACATCCTTGTAAAGGAAACAATCCAAGAGGAAGAGATGACAATCCTAAATATATATGCACCAAATATGAATGCCCCCAATTTCTTGTAAAATTCAACAGTGAATCCATCAGGACCTGGGCTCTTCTTTGTTGGTAAGTTTTTCATTACATTTTCAATTTCATTGACTGATATTGGATTGTTTAGAATTTTCATATCTTCTTGGTTCAGCTTTGGTAATTCATATGTATCTAGGAATCTGTCCATTTCTTCTGTGTTTTCCATCTTATTAGAGTACAGATTTTTGAAATAGGTATTGATAATCATCTGGATTTCCACAGAATCTGTTGTGATTTCATTCTTTTCACTCCTAATCGGGTGAATTTGAGTTTTTTCTTTCCTTTTTTTGATAAGGTTGGCTAAGGGTTTATCAATTTTATTTAATCTTTTGAAGAACCAACTCTTCAATTCATTGTTTCTTTGTATTGTTTCCTTAGTCTCCATTGCATTAATTTCTGCTCTGATTTTTATAATTTTTTTCCCTCGTATGAGCTTTGGGTTTGACTTCTTTTTCTCAAAGTTTGAGGTTCAGTATCAGGTTGTTTATTCAATCAGTCAATCTCTCTCTCTCTCTCTCTCTCTCTCTCTCTCTCTTCCTGATGTGAGAGTTCACTGCTAAAATTTCCCTCTTAGGATTGCTTTCATTGTATCCCATAAGTTGTGGTATATTGTGTTAGCATTGTAACTTAATTTAGATACTGTTTAATTTCTTCTTTAATTTCATCTGTGACCCATTGGTTGTTCAGGAGGGTGTTATTTAATTTCCATGTGTGAAAATGCAGTGTTTGTGGTTTCTTTTGCCATTGATTTCCATTTTCATTGCACTATGGTCAGATAATTTCAATTCTTTTGCATTTGCTTAAGTATGTTCTGTGGGCTAGTATGTGGTCTATTTTGGAGAACATCCCATGTACAGCAGCTGAGAAGAATGTGTATTCTGATGTTTTGGGATGGAACACTCTGTAGACATCTACTAAGCATTTGTTCACAAGTTTGGTTCAGTTCTGATATTTCTCTGTTGATTTTTTTTGTCTAGATGATCTGTCTATTTGTAACAGTGGAGTATTAAGGTCCCCTATTACAATTGTGATTGTCCTTATTAGACTTCCCATGTCCATTAATATTTGGTTTATATACTTAAGTACACCAATATTTTGTTCATATATATTTATAATTGTTACCTCTTTTTTTTGTATTTTTCCTTTAACAAGTATGTAGTGAACTTCTTTGTCTCTTTTGACCAGTATTGGCCTGAAGTTAATGTTGTCTGCAAATAGAATAGCTATCCCTTCTTTTTTCTGGGTTCCTGTCTCATGAAATATCGTTTTCCATCCTTGGACTTTCAGTCTATGAATTTTGGTTTTAGTTAAATATATTTCTTATATGCAGCATATTGTTGGATCTTGCTTCTTGATCCATTATGCTAGTCTGTTTCTTTTTTTATTGCTTACAGAAGCATATCAGCTCCATATTTATTTTTAACAAAAACCCTACAGATACATAATTCATAGATTTACATAGTAAGTGAGTTACTAAAAAGCACTATAGAATATTTCTTTCTGGTGTGTATTTTCTGGGGCACTCTACACAAATATTTGACATCAAGCTTTTCATATTACTTTGTTTCTATGGGCAACACTTTCACAGGATTTGCAAAATATGCTTACATACATATGGTTTCTCCACAGCGTGACTTGTTTCATGTTTTTAAAAATATTTTTGGGTTCTGAATGATTTTCCACATTACTTATATACATAGTTTTCTCCTGGTGTGAGTTCTTTCATGTGTTTTACAATACTTGCTTGTACTGAAAGCTTTCCCACATTGTTTACATGTATAGGGTTTTTCCCCAGTGTGAGTCCTTTCATGTATTTGATGATACTTGTTTGTACTGAAAGCTTTCCCACACTGTTTACATATATAGGTTTTTTCCCCAGTATGATTTCTTTCATGTATTTGACAATACTTGTTTGTACTGAATGCTTTCCCACATTTTTACATACATAAGGTCTTTCCCCTTTGTAACCTTCTTCATGGGTTTGACAATGACTTTAATCTATTGAATGCTTTCCCACATTGCTTACATACAAAGGGTTTCTCCCCAGTGTGACTTCTTTCATGTCTATACAAGGAACTGCTAGTAATAAAAGCTTTTCCACATTGCTTACATACGTAAGGTTTTTCCCCTTTATGAATTCTTTTATGTATTTGACAATAACTTTGTGTACTGAATGCTTTCCCACATTGTTCACATACATAGGGTTTCACCCCTGTGTGAATTCTTTTATATCTACTCAATGAACCTCTAGCAGTAAAGGCTTTCCCACATTGCTCACATACATAGGGTGTCTCCCTAGTATGAATTCTTTCATGTCTTTGGTAAAGACTGTGTGCAACAAAAGCTGCCCCACATTGCTTACATACAAAAGGTCTCCTATCCTCAGTGTGAGTTCTTTCATGTCTTAGACAATGACCTTGTGTGGTTAAAGCTTTCCCACACTGCTTACATACATAGGGTTTACCCCCAGTGTGCCTTCTTTCATGTATTTGACAAAGACTGTGTGTATGGAAAGTTTTCCCACAATGCTTACATATAAAGGTTTTCTTCTCAGTGTGACTTCTTCTATGTGTCTGATGACTGTGTGTTCTGAATACTTTCTCATATTCATCATGTTGATTCCAAGCTTTGTATCAACAGCTTTTCTCTACCTCTTCATTTCTGGCAAGTGTGAGGCCCTGAGTTCAATTCCTTAGATTTCTCCATAAATTTTTGTACTCTTCTTCATTTTGTTGGTTCTCCCAGTTTCCTCCTATAGTAGCCATGTTCCTAAAGGTTTCCTGCATCACATCTCTGTAGAGCTTCTTTTGGGATGGGCTTAGCAAAGCCCATTCCTCCATGGTGAAGGTCACAGTCACATCCTCAAAGGTCACTGCTTCCATTGCATGGTGTGAGGGTCTCCCAGGGTCCTTCCACACAGCCCGCCGCCAGTAGAAGTCCCAGAAGAAAGCAGTCTGGCCAGCTGGGAGGCTCGCATCAGTTTGGTGCCATGACACTGAAAGCTAGTCTGTTTCTTTTGATTGGTGAATTGAGACCTTTTACATTGATGGTTATGATATGTATCAGTTTATCCCTGTCATATTATTTTCTTGCTGTTGGTTCCTTGTTTTTCCTCTCTGTTTAATTGCTTGCCCTGCCTAGTGGCTTCTTTGCATTGGGGTTCTTGGAATTGTGGTTTCCATTTTCTCTTTCTAAAATGCCCTTCAGAACATTTTGTAGAGCTGGTTTGTTGGTCATGAACTTCTTCAGTTGTTCTTTTTCATGGAAGTATCTTATTTTTCCATTGAATTTTGAAAGATAGTCTTGCAGTGTACATCAATCTAGGTTGGAGGTTGTTTTCTTTTAGAACTTGAAATACTTCACTCCATGCTCTCCTTGCCTTAATGGTTTATGTTGAGAAGTCTGCTGTTATTCTGATGGGCTTTTCTTTATCGGTGATTTGTTTCTTTTCTGTAACAGCTTTTAATATTTTCTTCTTGTGCTGAATTTCTGGGATTTTGATTATTATATGCCTTGGTGTAGATTTATTTTGGTCATGGATATTTGGGGTTCTGTATGCCTCACTTATTTGTATGTCCAATTCTTTTTTCATATTTGGGAAGTTTTCTGCCATTACATCTGTGACCAGGTTTTTTATTGTAACTGTACTTTCTCCTGCTCTTTCATTTACTTCAATCAGTCTTATATTGTTTTTCTTTGCATCATCTTGCAATTGTTGGATTGATTTTTCATGACTTTTTGTTGTTTTTAAGTTTTCTTTCTTTTTTTGGTAAGTAACTGTAATCATGTCTTCTAGATCTGAAATTCTGTTTTCACTGTGGTTTAAATGATTGCCTATACTTTCAGTGGAGTTTTTAATCTTCTGGCTATGTGTTTAAATCTGTCTCATGTATTTCATTTCTTTTCTGTGTTGGGTGTTCATGCTTTCCATCATTTTCCTAAGCTCCTCTATTTTTTAAATCTGTTTCTAGTTTTGTTGAGCATGTCCTTCATTTTGATTTCATTTCTCTTTTTACGTGGAGGATTATTTTCTCTATAGCTTTTTCTTTTGTTTTTATTTACATCTGCAGTCATCATTTCAGAAAGTTCAGGTAGTTTGCTTCCAATTTCTTCTATTTCATTGTTCCCTCCACTTGTCCTAGGTGGGCTGGATGTCTGGGGTTGCATTTTGCTTCTATGTCTTGTCATTTTCTATTTTTAAAATTTATTTTGTTTTCTGAGTTGTTGCTTGTAGGTTTATTGTAGTAGAGAGCCTTATTACTATTATCAAGGCTTTGAGCATTTTTTATATCTTTGTTAGTCATCCATATTTCTTCTTTTGAGAAATAATCTATTCAGGTCATTTTTATTGGATAACTTCGTTTTTTGTTTTTGTTGTTTCTTTGTTCTTGTTCCTTAGAGATCCTGGATTTTAGTTTTCTGTTACATACATAGTTGGCAAATATTTTCTCACATTTTATTCTATTGATTTGTTTCCTTTGCTGTGCAGAAACATTTTAGTTTGATGTAATCCCATTTGCCTATTTTTGTTTTTGTTTCCCTGCTCTTGGGGTCTTATGCAGAAAAACCACTGCCTGTACCAATGTTTTGAAGTGTTTCCCTATGTTTTCTTACACTTATGTCATTGATCCATCTTGAGTTCATTTCTATACAGAATAAGAGAATTCACACTTCAGTCTTCTGCATGTGGATATCCAGTTTGCTCAGCAACATTTATTGAAGAGTTTGTCTTTATCCGATATATATTTTTGGCACCTTTGTTAACAATCAGTTGGCTGTAGATGCATAGGGTTGCTATTCTTTTCTGTTAGTCTATATGTCTGTTTTATGCCAATAACATGGTATTTTGATTACAATCTTAAAATCACAGTAATGCCTCCAATTGCTTGGTGTGAGTTTTTGAATGTTGCTGTTGTTACAAATTGCTTGGGCTACTTGGAGTCTCTTGTGTTTTCATATAAATTTTAGGATTTTTTTCCCCTAGTTCTATGAAGAATGTCATTGGTACATTGAATCTGGAGTTTACTTTGGGTAGTATGACATTTTAACAATATTAATTCTTCCAAACTATGAACATGGGAGGACCTTCCCAGTTTTTCTGTCTTGTTTATTTTACTACAGTTTTGTAATTTTCATTGTAGAGTTCGTTCACTTCTTTAGGTAAGATTATTTCATGGTGGTGGTGGTGGTGCTATTGCAAATAGGGTTGCTTTCATTATTTCTTTTTCAGCAAATTCATTGGTGTGTAGAAACACTACATTCTAATTTTTGTGCATTGATTTCTTTTTATCCTGCTAATTTACTGAATTTAGCAGTTCTAATAGTCTTTTAGTGGAGTTTTTATGTTTTTCTATCTATAGAATCATATCTGCAAACAGTGACAATTTAACTTCTTGCCGTCCTATTGAATAGCATTTTTTCCTTCTCTTGCCTAATTGGTCTGGCTAAAACTTCTAGTACTACATTAATTAAGGGTGGTGAGAATGAGCCTTGTTCTTGCTCCTGATTTTAGAGGAAATGTTTTCAGGTTTTACTCATTCAGCAAGATGTTTGTTGTAAGTTTGTCACACATAATCTTTATCATGTTGAAGCACAATCATTCTATTCCCACTTTGTTCAGGACCTTTATCACAAAGCAATGTTGAATTTTTATCAAATACTTTTCTGTACCTATTAAAATGATCATATAATTTTTATCCTTCATTCTGTTGATGTGTTGTATAATTTTTTTCCCCTAGGATGAAAATGACTTGATCATGGTAAATGTTTTTGATAGGTTATTGAATTTGATTGCTAGTGTTTTGTTGATAATTTTTACATCTATGTTCATCAAAAATATTGATCTATACTTTTATTGTTTTTGTTTTGTCCTTGTCTGTTTTGATACTAGGGTAATAGTGGCCTCATAGAATGAGTTTAAAAAGGTTACCTCCCAAACAATCCAAGAGGAAGAGATGATAATCATAAATATATATTCACCAAATATGAATGCCCCCAACTATACAAAAGAAATATTAATGGACATGAAAAACCAAATAAGCACTAATACAATTGTAGTAGGGGACCTCAATACCCCACTATCACAAATAGACAGATCATCTGGACCAGAAATTAACAATGAAATTCTGGAACTGAACCAAGCTATTGAACAAATGGACTTAATAGATGTTTACAGAGTGTTCCACCCCACAAAATCAGAATA